ATTGAAAGTTATTTTCCACAACGGTTAAAAGTATTTAAGGTACTACCTCAACCTCAAAATTTAACTTTGTATTCGGGTTGACATTTTTATTATAAAGGTGAATAAATGAATAAATGATTTTATTTCCATCAAAAATTAACAATGTATGAACATTTGTAATATTGGAAATATAACTGACCACTTTAACAAGTTGTGTGGTCAGTAGAATAAATTATAATAATCTAAAAATAAACATTAAATCAGCCTAGCTCAACATAAAAAATGACACCTGCTCTCTGTGATGTTTGACAATTCTTTTCTTAATAAAGCTAAATACTTAAACTAAAAAATCAAAGAAAACAATACTTAATTTAAATTCAAATTAAAATTACATTTAGATGAGGTATTTTCATGGACAACATCAAGCATCATGCTATTTCCAAAATTTTGTTTTTATCCCTACCCTCGCATTCCCAATCTAAATAATGAAGTGTGCAACAAGGATGAGGCCAACCGATAACACTATCTACTACATTTGTAGGCGCACACACACACATTCGTTCACTCACTCACTCACTCACTCTCTCACTCACTCTTTATTACCATTACCTGTCATACTGCTATCTAACCAAGGGTCATGTTATAATCGGCTATGCTACAAACCCTCTACGTGACCAACGGGCGGGTGGTAGCCCCGGGGTATCCTAGGGCCGTCAATGCACTGTCCCCGTGGTACATCTGGATTCGGATGCAAAGCTAATTCACTCACACTACTCATTTATTTCACAGTTATACTTCTCATTCACACTTACACCTAAATGAGTACAGAGCTCATCTGACTAACATCGTCTTTCTCTAATAACCATTTAAAAGCCTGTTGAAAAAAGGTTTTCTTTGAATTTAACTGCTTTATGTCTGTAGGTAATTGGTTGAAAAGTTTCGGACCTAGATACAACAATGACCTTCTAAATAATATTTTATTTACTTTTGGCAATTTAAAAATCCCTTGTGTAGTACTTCTCGTTCCATAATGTCTGTATTCGATGTTTTTATTGCCACTTCTTACGTAAAAAACCCTTAATACTTTATAAATAAATAAATGTTGTATAGGTAATAATTTTAATTCCTTGTAGAGTGGAGATGAACTCTCCCTAACATTTTTCTTCAGTATTATGCGTATAAAAAAGTTTTGAGTGACTCTCAACCGATCTATTAAATATTTGAAAGCACTTCCCCAACAGATTATGCCGTACTGTAATTTAGAGTTAATCAAGGCAAAATATAAAGTTCTCAAAAGTGAAGTATTGCAAAAATTTCGTAAATAGTAAAAAGTTCTCACTGTTGATCTGATTGTGTTATGGAGGTTGTTAATGTGTATATCCCAGTTCATTTTTTCGTCTAATGTGACGCCAAGATATTTGAAACTAGCTACTTGTTCAATAGCTTGGCAATCGCATATAGTAGCATTGCAGTCATGCGCATGGTATTTTATTGGAGATAAGAACTTAAAACCTGAAAAATCAAAGTTGATATATTTTGTTTTACTGACATTTATTTCCATGTTATTTTTTACACACCAGTTTCTGAGCAGCACCAAGTCGTGTGTAATGCTTTCATATATGACCTGCTCTCTTTGATGCGAGTAAAATAAAGCAACGTCGTCTGCAAAAGCATTGATCCTTCCTCTGAATGGTAATTCCAAAAGGTCGTTTATGAAAATTAAAAATAAAGTGCTTGACGTCACTGAACCTTGTGGAACACCCGATCTTACAATGTGGGGTTGGCTGACATTGTTTTTAATTCTTACCTGTTGGTTCCTCTGAGTTAAATAGCTTTCAAACCAATTTAAGGCCACACCTCTGATACCGGCAGCTTCTAATTTGTTTAATAGAATTGTGTGATTCACAAAATCAAAAGCTTTTTTAAAGTCTATAAACAGCCCTGTAGTCTTTAAATTTAAGTTGCAGTTGTTATAAATTTGTTCAGTAACTGTAATCAAAGCATCTTCTGTAGATTTACCTTTAATGAACCCAAATTGTCTGTTGCTAAAAAAGTTTAAATTATTTAAAAAATTTAACAAACGTATTTTACATATCTTTTCAAATATTTTAGAGAACACAGACAAAAGGCTTATTGGTCTTAGATTGTCAAGTTTCAAGTTATTACTTTTTTTCCATATTGGAACTACAATACTTGATTTCAATTTATGCGGAAAAACACCATTTACAAAACTTAAATTTATAACGTGGACTAAGGCAGGGGAAATTACATCTACACATCTTTTGACACAATCCACTGTTATGTTATCATAACCAGAGGATTTTTTGTTTTTTAGGCTAGTTATTACGGCAGTTACTTCTTCGACTGTAGTAGGTAATAAAAAAAATGATCGTGGTTGGATTTTAAGCGGCGGTAGAACACCAGATACGATTGTACCTATTCCTGTCATTTGTCCAGATTGTACAGAGATTAAGTAGTCGTTGATAACTTGAGCGACAACAGCTGGGTCAGAGATAAGCTTGTTATCATGTGATTCAATCTTATCCACAGTGCCCTTGCTTGTTCTACCTGTTAGACTATTTATTATTTTCCACTGCTGCGCTGTATCACCTTTGCAGCCCTCTAGTTTAGTTTCGTAAAATTGGTTTTTTGTAATAGCTATTTCATTACCTAAACTACTACTGAACCTACGAAAGTAGCTTTCAAAATGTGTATCATATGGCCTCCTCCTAAAAATGTTATACAGTTTTTTCCTTATACATAAAAAGGTGCTCTTGTCCTTTCCGTAAAATACTGAGAAATAAGGACATTATACGTTACCAACAGCCATACACACAAAAATACAGAACTTAACAAAGTACATATAAAATTAGTATTTAAAATCTTTGTTAATGTCGTCAAATTTCATCATAACAATTTATATTAGCTTGGACCGAAGATGACCCTAAATGATGTCGAAATGACGACTTACTATATGAAATTAAATACTATAGACTATTTAACTATTGACTATATATATAGTCAATGGTAGGAACAGAAAGTGACACATTGGAAAAGCGATTTTAGCATCATCCGTAAAACTCTGTTACAATCACCCACTGCAGTTGTGATTTTTTACTTTACACTTTACACAACCGCCATTGAAGCGCCGTCAATGAGTGGAAACCTTGTTTCTAAGCTATTGGCGACGATCATTAATAAATTTAAGTTTCCCAGCTATATACAATACTGATTCAAGGTCTTCTTTCTGGTTATCAAAACTCAAGAACAATTTTATACACAAAGAATCTCTGGTTCCTGATCTGGATGATGCATAGTTATTTAATTTCATTTACGGTTACACTATATTATTGCACTTGCGATTAATTAAATCCGTTATGTAAGAAAAACGTTTTTAATCTCACTTGGTTGGGATTTGCTTTCAAAACGTGATCGAAAATGGTTGCGGTATTTGTAAACAACATGTGTAAACAAAACAGTGACAGCTAAAAAAATAATCTTGATCCAAACAGCTGTTCGTTATTTCATAGATGATTATGTAATAACAATTGGACGAAAACTTGACAAAAATCACACAAAACTGCATTTTCGAACGTCCGTAATTTTATTTACAAAGTAGTGAGGCCATATTTTAATGGCTAAAGACACTCTCCCCAATCCATTGAATACATTAAAATGACTTGGATCTTGATAGGTACTCTCGTTTTCCTGGAGAAGATAGCGTAAAATGCCATCTTGAGTGTTACAGACAGACAGACATACAGAAATAGAGATAAGACACGTTTCTGCTTCTTTAATGTATAAAACCTTTAACACGTAATAATAACTTAAAAATATATAATTCTGAGCAATGTACAGACAAAACTCTAATTTTATTTATATGGATTTAACTAGAGGCGTCTAGTTGTCAAAAACTCGACCAAAAATATCTAATATACAGACTTCTCTATTTTCACCCCACGCTGTAAATAAAACATGTGATTGGTATTTCTTTTGATTTTTTGTTTATATTTCGTTGTTATTTCATCACCAGCATGTCAACCCATAAGGCCCATGTTAATTTGTTTAAATTTTGAACTCATTTGTCGTGTTTATTTTTTAGCCTATTTTAATTTAAAAAGCGATTATATTCTGCACACCTACAGAAAAATATCTTTCTAACAGTAGGCCTATGCTTAGATTTTCCCTACGATCACACAAGCTGAGAAAAAAGGTTTTAAAGAAACATGCTTGCCTATTAATATAATGATTCTATTTACTTACATTATTACGGGTTATAAAATTGTCAATGTGCCAACCCCTTACCTTACTGATTCTACTCCAATACCACGATTTTCCGGCTAGAACTTCTACAATCAATGAAACCACTATAACAAAACAAAACTACTTCCATCTTAACTACATGTACAAATATAATATACATATTTTTTACAAACAAAATAATCAGTACAACTATTATATGGGCAAAATCACAAAAGCTGCAATAGTTTTTGAACCATAATTTTTAAAGCAATTGGGGTTTTAACATTTTGTTTAAAGAACCATAAAATACTAAATTTTAAACAAAATCGATTGGGGTAGTTTTTAATATCCGATTTTTTGTTATTTATTTAACATTATCATTTCAAAAACAACTTTTTTATGTCCATGTTTAATGGATCCACCCAAAACTCAAAACACGAAAATTTGGACGTAAACAATACTTTCTCTACACTATATATAGGGTATCCAATATCGTACTATATAATTTATATTTTGGTATCAGTGGGCCCGGTAATAATATCTTTATGTTGGTAGTTGATCACGCATTATACTTAGCTTCCTTTCCTACTTATATTTTTAGGTGCAATATTACTAGTTCAAGGTAGCCTCCTTCTTCCACCTCATATTTTTAGGTGCAAAATTACTTATTTAAGGTAGCTTATATTTTTAGATATGATTACTCATTCAAGGTAGCCTCCTACTTTCACCTTTATATTTTAAGTGCAGGATTATTCGTTTGAGGTAGCTTATATTTTTAGGTGCAAGAATACTCATTCAAGATAGCCTCCTACTTCCACCTCGCTGGACTGCAGCGTGGTGATGTAGTAGGCTTGGCAGGGGTGGAAGGACCGCAATCTGTAGCTCTATGGTTGGGTATCAGCAGACTAGGGGCCGTCACTGCTCTCCTACCCTCAGACCTCGCTCCTGCAGACATGGTACAGGCTGCCTCAAAAGTCTACAGCAAGGCCATCATCTGCACTCCTGAACTTGCCACAGGTACCAATGTAATGCACTAAGTACTTGTTAATAAAGTTGTGCCACACTACTTTCACTACTATTTAATTTTGTGTGTTGGCAACATGAATAGTTGGATGTGTATGTTGAGATGGCCTGATCCAAGTAATGCCATTAGATTGGTAGATTTATTTTCATTCTCACCGGAAAATCGTTCAAAAGTTAGTCTACTATTTAAAAACTCTTCATAAAAATTTCTTTTCTCCTCTGGTCAGTTTTCTGTACCACTAAAATGTAGTTATTTCAATACCCATAAAAACATAAAAATTATAATAATTTGTAACAGATTGTACAGAATTTGTACAGGTCATGCCATTACTGCAAATTCCCATATGATATCACTACTGAAGTAACAAAGATGAACTGAGATCACTAGACATCACTTCAAGTTTACTGATGTCTAGTGATTAATGTCACTAGATTCTCTAATGATACCACTTGATATCATTAGACATCTATTGACAGCACTATGTATCTAATTATATCAATACAATATGTCATATTCATATTCACTTACAGGTTTGACACAGCAAAAACTACCCAATTACATGTCCATACTCTCCTTGGGACCAACACAAGACAAGAGTGTAAAAAATATCATTAGGGAAGTGGACGGATCATCATCAAAACCTTTGAAACACAATATGTCTGTAAATAATAAATTATTATACCTCTTCTCACCAAAAACATTGATACCAAGACCTGTGACACACTATAGGTAAGTATACCTCTAGAGTCAGTTTTTTCATCTATATTTTCAAACATAAGTTAACATATCAGCAAGTTAAATATGTGATATGATATGATCAGTGGTGTAGTGGGCCCTTTCTGGATTTTCCAAAAAAAAAATATATTGGTAAGCAGCCTGTATTTTTCTGTGACTGTGAACACTGTAAATATTACGACTAAATCACTGGATATGATGCAAGCTAGATACAGTATACTTATAAAAATCAATGTTCCAATGGCGCTTTTCTAACTAGAAGTATTTTCAATTGCAAAAGTAAATATTTTCCAGTAAACTCAACAGCTAGTTTGGCCAACTTATACAAAATATATTCATTATTTCAGGTACATATACATAGCGACAAACATTCGCAAGAGCCTTGACTTCACTGCTAAGGATATTATTTACTCTCCAATGCCTCAGTCAACAGCTGATGGAAGCATTGTTGCGGCTGGTCAAACGATACTCTTCGGCAATCTGGTTGTCTCTGGAGGAAAACCAACAATCGACACATATTTCAAAGATTGTGACCACTACGGCGCAACGGTATAATCTCAGAGATATTTTATAGATAAATATTTGAAAGAATGAAATCTTAAGTCCTTAAGTTTTCATTACCAAGCAAGTGAAACGACTGACAATTTTACTTTATAGTCAATGTGTTCAAAATTTGGCATAGCGGAAATACCTAAGAATGTTTTGTTTTGTATCAGATAAATCCAAACAATAACATTAACCCTAGTACAAAATGTTTTTTCTTCTTGAATTGAAAGTAAGAAAATGCAAGTTCAAACAAATGCAGGTTTTTATTGTAAATGGAGGAAAATGTAATAAGTAATTTTCTTTATTGAGTATCTGAGCTGTGTTTAAAAACTATTTCAGGCAAGTGCATAGGCCTAAACGTTTCTTTCAGCACTCAGATAACTATTTCAATAATATTTTATATTTTCTGGTAGTTGTCGTCTGAAAGATTTTAATTCCATGATTTTTTGAAACAGATAGCCATGTATGATGCTGAAATCGTGAAGGGCTTGATGGCTTCTTCATCAACTGAGATGGACAAGCACCACAAAGTACGTCTACTTACGGGTAATGGTCTACAAAACCCGCAGACTTGGACGGAGTTGAAGGAACGGTTTAATATCCACCACATCGGGCAGTACCATATTATAGTGGATAGTGATGGAAGGAATTTGGGTAAATTTATGATAGAACATTGTATTTAAAAACATACATAGCTATACAGATATATTTATCATATATAGTAATTTTACAGGTTCAATTCCGAGAAATCCAGTAGTTTTTTGATTGTTTGAAAATAAAGCCAGGTGATTTGAATAGATTACAGTACCTACATTTATAAAACTCCTACACGCCTGGGTGCATATTTTAAGTTGGAAGATCAAATTTGAAGAATATGTGATTAGTTAAATGATGAATGAGATGATAGCCACATTACTGACAATGATCAGCTATGGTTCTTTTCCCAGGACAATTTATTAAAAGCCCAAAAAAATCACAACACATTGTTTCGAGCCATCAAAGAAAACAAACAAAATATAAGTGTAGTATAACCAGAGAGCACAGAGTATAACAGTGAACTCTGTTGGTTGGAAAATTGGAAAATTATTTTCTATTATAAAAATTTAGAACAGAACATAAGAATCTTTTACTTCACAGAAGTACTTTGTTACTCAAAGTAAAAATATAAAAACCTAATGTTAGGTTGAGTCACAGAGAAGTAAGAAACAGAGGATAAGTTTGATGGTACACTTATGTGATGTCTAGCCACAGTTGATGGTGTCTAGAGAAAATTCTTTTTCTTGTCCCCTTCCGCTCTCCTTTCCCCCTCACGTACTACAGCGCTCACACGGTAGGAAGACCATGTGCACTACAACTGCTGTACAAATATCGCTATGTGACCATTGCTGTTCGGGATCTTCCTTGCTCGATACTAGTTAATTTCCGCCCCAACATACCAGAGCTACCTATTGGTGCATGGTTGTCACATACGCTTTGTATCCTCTGTAACTGTATCTTACTTCTCTGTGGTTGATTGTAGCATGGAAAAAAAGCTCAGCAACTATATTCAATCATAAAACTTACAGTTGGTTAATTTTTTTTGTTAATTTTAACTTAAATTTGGTCTTTTAGCTAGAGTATAATTTGGTTACCATTCATAAGCTATATTTTAATTCATTTTGAATCTAACATTTATACTTTCTCAGTAAATTCATACGGCAAACCTGGGGCTATTGGATTTGTTCCCTGGTACTTCTCTGGTCAAAAAGTAAAGTTGGTTGCTTTGGACCCAAACACTGGAGAAGTAGTTCGAAAACAGAACAGACTCTGTAAATCACCAGCCAAAGGTGGGTTTTAGGTTAAATGTTAAAAAAGTGCATGATTGTGTGCAGCAATTATTGTAGACTATTTATGGAAGCATTTCAGTATTGTTGTGAGAAGTTAACATTAAAAAACTGCATTACAGAACTACTCGATTAGGTACTAAAAACAATTGTTCCCAGTGCTTGATTTGTAAAAAATGAGGTGCTGGAACTGTAACCTATTTAATGTGATTTATGTACTGGTACCTATGCCAATATTTATATCTTTCCGAAAGAGAGGTATCAGAACCGTTCAGCTGCGTTCCCCTCAAATTGCATGAACAATCATTGTTCAAATCTTGAACAAAAATATGTCTAAAACTTATCATTCAGACAAGATACTATAGTGCAGTGGCAAACTGGGTTTATTTCCCAGGGTTATAAGTTTTAATATTAAATTATCAAGTTTTTTTAGAGAGGTTATAAACCTATTTATTTGCAAACAAAATATGCATTTCGCGTGCTCCATGTTTACTTCACATTTTATTTAACTTCTCATTGAAACCCACTCTATCAGTACCTATGCTGTCTTTTAGTATTCAAAATTGAAATATTCCAAAACATTACTTAAGAAAATAAGTAATTTATACAATAGTAATTACAATGATGTGATTTTCCCAGATCAGCCAGGGATTCTCATTGAAGAAATGCCCAAAGACTTTGTGCGAGTGCAATTTTCAAAGAATAAGAAGGTGATAAGTGATGTCTACAGGAAAGGGGACAAATATATTAACACTGGTAATAAACTTGTTGTTTAAAATACAAATAACATGTAAAAATAGAAACTTTAAATTGAAACTCGAAAGGTCTGGTGCAAACCTCCAACTAATAATATGAAAACATCATATTTGCCCATGACACTTCTCAATGAAAGTAACTATTTTTGGTGTAACTTTTAGCTTTCTTGATCTAGTAGATTTTTGTCATGGCAAGATAGATAGACAGACGTCTTTATATAATGTTATAGATTAACACTACTATTTTCACTAAGAAAATATCTTTTATTGTTCAAGAACGCTCTTTAGTACTCACCTGCCGTTTTTTAAACTCGTCTTGGACAGTGTATCAACTGCGTATTTTAATGGGGTCATTAGATCAACTAATGTATAGGTTAAAAACTCAAAAGTTAAGTTAGCACTTATAGTGGCTTAAACTACTTTGTATGGCACCGTTTCATTGAAAAGTATTAAAGTGCCACTTAAATTAAATATGCAATGTTTTCACAGGAGAAATTTTGAAAAAAGATGAAAAGGGCTACTACTACTACATGGGCCAAATCGAGGATTTTAAGGTGTAAGTAGTGCATACCATGAACTGATAATTTTTGATTAGCTTGGTATCTGTGATATATGCCTACATTAACCATAACCCACAAAACAAATTTTGTAAAAGTCTGTCCACATCCACAGCAGCACTTCCAAGGGGGAGGGGAAGGGTCTAGTCTATAGGGGCTAAAGCACCCATCCCCATTGGGCCCTGCAAAAATAATTTAGTCATATATTTTCATAAAAATGTAACAGAGGTTTTTGGATACAGTTTCTGGATGTTCAAAATGGCTTTTAAAGTCACCAAACTGCTTTTTAAATTGCCCTGGACCCCCATCTGGTGTGGAACGTTCCCTTTAGCTTCTAGGTCCTAGAACCTCCACTGCATCCACACACACATACAGACAGACATCACTTTTTTAAAAGTTTGTTTAACCACCCAAAACCCAAACTCAAAAGTTTTGACAAAAAATATGTTCTCCATTTAAGTACAAATGTAAATTTTGTTGACAATCATAATGATTAATATGAAGAACATTCAACCTAGAACCTGTGCATATAGAATATAGTACAGGTAAAATAATACAAAAACACTCCATATAACAACAAAATTTGTACATTCATGAAATTTCACCTGTGAGTTACTAATAATATGAGAAATGGAGATCCGATGAGTCCCCAAAATTTTGGGCGTCCTAAGGCCCTTTTTGGGGCCCTTTTTGTTCCGAAGGGCCCTTGTTCCTGAATAATTTAGTTTTTACGTTTAAGGTCTAGTGAGGTGTGGTTTTCGATGGTTTTAGTTATTTTAAATCGATTGGGAATAGTTTTAAGTGTATTAAACCACACCATACAGGGTGTTTCGAAATATTATTACTTTTTACGATATTTAAACATTTATTCATAAAGTGATAAAATTAGTTACCTCCATGCTCTATATAAAAGGGGATTATTGAAAATAACTGTAATTCATTACTATATAAGAGGGAAGGATCTCAAGGTGTAAGAGAAAATATTAAATACCCCCGTCACAGCAAACCTGCAGACTAAGCGAATTTTCATTTGCCCCATTTTCAATTAAATCTAATAGTTTAATGAAATGAGGTCTAATAGTTTAATGAATACTTAGGTTTGCTGCTACAAGGAGGCTAATAAAGTGTGTTTATAGTAAACTATTAATAGCCTAGTATAAAACAAATAAATTTGACAAGTTTTATTAAAACATATCTATAAACAAACAAACAAAATCATTTTACACTATTCTCCTTAAAAATAACATGGAATTTTAAATTTACAATTTTTGAATTTTATTCGTACTTAATACACTTACAAAACACTAATAACACTTAATAAACTTTAATATACTAAATTACTTGTTATCTTTAAGCTCCTTAAATTGCTCTAGAGAAAAATTGGGAAACTTTGTCTTGAGGGTCAAAGATTACAAATTTTTACCACATAAAACCCTGTTCCATGGACCGATTATGCCGGTTTCGTTAAAATTGAACCAAAATTACTCGAGTTATCATGTTTATGGACACGTATATAACATGGATATATCTTATCTTATCTTATCTGACAGGGGCAGGTCGAGACCTTAAAGCACTTCATCCGAAATCGAATTATTGCGCACCCCAGATACTTAATTGCTTTCTTGTTGACCTACAAGTTGAGGCGCCCAATGAATGCCTGTAGCTTCCCAATTAGTTCATCCTCGGGAAGAAATCTACCTCTAGCCATATTTCCAAGAGTTATCGATCTAGCGTCAGAGAGCTCAATACAATCAAAGAGTAAGTGATCAGCTGTCTCTTCTGACCTATCACAGTACCTACAGATCGGTTCACCATCATATAAGCCCATCCGTTGTAGATGTTTCCTGAATCTTCCATGACCAGTTATCAGTTCAACAATTAATTTAATTCTTCGTCTGTCTAGTCTCAAGAGGTCACAGGCAACCTTTTTGGAAGGCCTAAACAGAGTAAGCTTGCTGACCCTAAGAAGGGGAACATCGACCCAGCGTTTGCGATGCTTTTCCTTGGCCCATGACGCAATCGCAGAACATACACTGTTTCGTGAGATGCCACAGAAGGGTTGCGGGCCTAACAATGATGTCGCAGAGGCAGTATTTGCCAATCTGTCTGCAGCTTCATTTCCTTCAATGCCTGAGTGTCCTGGTACCCAGCAAAGCGTAAGGTCATTTCTCCTACCCAACTCAGACACAGAAGCAAGACAATCCCACACGAGCCTGGAGTTGAATTCGTAAGAGTTTAATGCTTTTAAGGTCACTTGACTATCAGTAAAGATATTGATTGTTTTGTCTCTGATATCTTTGTTAAGATGTTCTTGAGCACAAACTAGAATGGCAGTGACCTCCGCTTGAAAGACAGTTGGGTACACCCCCATTGGAAGACAAATACCAGTGCCTCCATTCATCCAATGCACACCTGCTCCAGTGCCCCCATTTTTGATCTTAGAACCATCAGTATAGCATTCTAAGTCACCTGTGGGTATGGGTCCTTTTCCGCCAGACCAATCCTTCCTATCTGGTATTAGTACTTTGAAAGGCTTTCCAAAGGAGTATTTTTTGGACATGTGATCTGAAGGTAAGTCCAATTCATCATTATGTACCACCTGAACAATTTTAGAGTGCCCTTTATTGTTCCCTGAGGCTATCCATAAGTTTTCGCATCTAAGGCGTTGGGCTGTTTTACTTGCTACCACCTTAATATAAATGTCAATAGGTAGCATGTCAAGCAGACAGTCAAGTGCCGCTCCAGGACAGCTACTTACTGCCCCAGTTATCATAATAAGAGCAAGCCTCTGAACTCCTGCTAAAGCTTTGACAGCTATAGTTGATTCCATCTTTGGCCACCACACAAGCGAACCATATGTAAGGGCGGGTCGAACAACAGATACATACAGCCAGTGCATAAGTTTAGGCTGTAACCCCCATGTGCCACTTACCATCCGCCTGCATGCCATATGGGACCATTTGCCACGCTCAATGACTTTTTGAAGGTGTGGTCCCCAGTGAAGTGATCTGTCCAAAATTACACCAAGATACTTCACCTGATTCTGCAGCTCTATTACAGTACCCTGCAGTCTTAGTGGGCCGATCCCGTCCAGTTTCCTCCTTCTTGTGAAGGGTACCATTACAACTTTCCTGGGATTTATAGAGAGCCCAACATCCTGGCACCAACGGTCCACTACCCTTAAAGCTCTATTCATAAGGTCAGTTATGGTTCCGTGGAACTTTCCAACCACAAGGATTGCAACATCATCAGCATAACCTAAGGCGAAAACCCCACTTTCGTTGAGGGTCCTTATAAGGTCGTCTGCTACCAAATTCCAAAGTAGAGGAGAAAGAACCCCCCCCTGAGGACATCCTCGAGTAGTTCTTGCCTCGATCGTATCATTGTGGAGTGAGAGCCTAACCTTCTTACTGAGAAGCAAGGATTCAATCCATCTACATATTATACCGTGAAAACCTCTTGCTCTCACCGCATTAAGAATCGCTGGAGTACCAGTATTGTCAAAAGCACCTTGAATGTCGAGAAAGGCACCCAGGGCCACTTCACTGCTCTCTAGAGCTTTCTCAATCTTGCTTACAAGTTGGTGCAACGCAGTCTCGCATGATCTTCCTGAGACATACGCATGCTGATTAATATGTAAAGGATGTGTCCTAAGAGCTGTATCCATCATATATCTTGAGACCAACTTCTCTAGGATCTTAAGAAAGAAAGAAGATAGAGAAATGGGTCTGAATGACTTAGGGTCAGTGTAACTATCCCTTCCTGGTTTAGGAATAAATGCGATACGCGAATTACACCACCCTAAGGGAATGTGTCCTAACGCTAAGCTGGCTCTGAAAAGTTTACAGAGTGGGTGTATAATTGTATCAAGACCCTCCTGCAAACAAACAGGTCTTACCTCATCAGGACCCGGCGATTTGAAGGGTCGTAATAAGCCAACAGCCCATCTTACCTTGCTGAAGGTGACTATGCGGCAAGCAGTGCTCCACATAGAATGAGTGGCACGACGGCCCAGGTTAGGCCGCTCTGGACTCACCTCCTCCTGCTGCACTTCAGAAACAATACAACCAGGGAAATGAGTTTTTACCATAACCTTTAGTATTTCGGTAGGTTCAAAAGCCATTACACCATCCGGTCCCTCAACGGCACCCAAAGTAACATGCCTGTCTCTAACAAGTACCTTATGTATTCTAGAAGTATCCTTGATACTCTCTAAATTTCCACAAAAATTTTTCCATGAGAGCCTTTTGGCCTTACGTACTGCATGGTTATATTCTGTGAGAGTTGTATGGTATGTATCCCAATTATTGGTTATCTTTGCTCGCCTAAATTGGGCCCTTACTCTCTTCCTAAGAGAGGCAAGTTCAGGACCCCACCAACTAGCCCTGTTGCTCTTTCCCTTGCTCAAAGGACAATTATCCTCAAAGGATGTAACTATGCACCTAGTTAGACGATCTGCCGCCTCGTCAAGCGCATCAACTGTGTTAATAGGAGATGTGTTCAGGTTCGAGGCAATTCTGCCCCGAAGATCAGCTCTGAAGGATGCCCAGTCGGTTTTAACTGGGCTCCTGAATAAGCGAACCTCGCCGCAGAAATTCCCCAACCCGAAGACAATGTGCCTATGATCAGACAGGGATGGCTCAAGGGACACTGACCAGTCAATAATCCTGTCAGCCATACCCGCCGAACACAGGGTAAGATCAATTACTGATTGGCCTATCCTGCTTAAAAAAGTTGGTTCTGAGCCTACATTTGCAACAAGTAGGCCGCAAGAAGCTATGTATTCTAGAAGTGACCTACCTCGGTTGTTAGTGTCCCTGCATCCCCAGGCCGTATTATGGGCATTGGAGTCGCAGCCTATCACGAGTTCAGATCCAGACTCGTGTGCGAGGTCGACCAATCTTCTGACCTCGGCCGATGGGAGCAGTCCATCGTCGCCCTGTGGCATGTAAACAGAGGCCAGCAGCAGATTTATGTTGGATTTAGTACATACAGTCTTAATTACTGTTACGTCCCTCGAACAAAGCTCTAGAACTGGATTACATTTTAGCCCCTCTTTGACCCAAATGCAAGTTCTAGGGTGTGGTACAGATGCAGAGAAGATGCTACCCTTTATAGTTCCCATCCCCGCAATTCTAAAATTATTGATCCAGGGTTCTTGAATCAAGGCAAAATCTAAGGACTGCTTAACCGTGCTCAGACAGAACACAGCCGTGGCAGCCTTACTGTGTTGAAGGTTCGCTTGAAGGACCTGAGTCATCAGAGGGAGCACCAGAGATAACTCTGAGCTGTATTTTCCCCAGACCCAGATAGATAATCCAGCCACGATCTTTCAGAACCTGCGCATTCATTTCATCAATAGCAAGAACAAGAATCTGATGATCATCCTTCCTCTTCCCACCAATGACGCGCCAGTCCTTTGTCGTGACACCAGGATTTTGTCGCTCAATCTGAACAAACACTTTAGAGGCTTCGACCTTGGCCAAGCGCCTGTCAGTGCGTAGGAGCACTTTGGTCGTGCGCAACAGATCCTTATAGTCTGCTACAATGACCTCCATACTCCCCTCACTTCCCAGCGCCAGCTTCGGTGCCACCCTCTTTAGCCAGTCAGTCGTTTCAGAATTACCACAAGTTACGACAAGAGCACCCTTCTCATGGTAAATTTTTTCAAACTGATGAGGAATGTTGGCGCCGTCATCACCAAACACCAACTCCATCAGTTTGTCCTGCAACAAATCACATTCCTCAACAGAGAATCTCGCATCGGGATAGGCCGCTGGAGCTACTGCCAACTTGTGACCCACAAGCTGATCTCTGTAGCTGGCCTTTCCTGCAACGAGTCCATCTGCTGATTGATTAGAGTTTTTATTTCTCTTAGAAGGAGGATTTTGAGACGACCCAGGGTTACTATCGGATCCGGTTCTACGCATCGGTGATACGCCTGAACCTTCCCCAGGAGAACTCAAGGACTCTCGCTTCCTCTTTCTCCACTGTCTGTTAGGGATCCACGTGCCCTCAGCCTTTTTCTTTTCTCTAACAGACATATTGTACTCAGTTTTGGTCATAACTGTAAAAGTGATCTCAGAGTCGGACGAAACATCCGCCAGAGATGGAGAGTCGCCAGCACTGCTGGTGTTTAGTGGCTTATTCAGGTCTGCATCTAACCTGTGGCAAAGCTCAAGCACATCAGTAGATGAATTGGGTGGAGTTCTTGCTGTTAAGGAACTTCTCGAGAAGACCTCTGGCGAGTCCAGGATCTCCCCAGGTTCCGTCTCCATAGCGGTGTTCTGCACAGTAACATTATCATTGTTAAAGGAAAGCTGATCGTTGCCCTCCCCAGAATCCATGGGCTTGTCCTCCAAAAAGGAGGAGTGGGATTCCCCGCTTGAGCAGGTACCCACCTGGGGTAATGATTCCGTTCGTTTACTTTCAGCCATTACTAAAACAAGAAAAGCAAAAAAAAGTTAGCAGTTTAGCAGCCGAACCGTGACCCACTCACTACGCCTGCTAATATCCAAGACTGGACCCTTTCGGGGTTGGACCCCTCATCGTCTCCAGCTCAGTCCTGTCACAGCTGCACACATACCTGTAACAGTTGGCGGTAACATTAGCTATCTGGGCCTTGGCCGGATTGGTGATTGTCACCTCCGCCCAAGGCCAGTACTAGAGCAGCCGCTCCCTACCCTAGGGCTGTCTAGTCACGACACAGCCAGCGCTAGATCCGCTGCCTTCAGCGAGTGCAGAGGCACCCCTTGCAGGCTGTGCATAGCACAGTACGACTTTGCTGAACAAAGTCGACTCACAGCGGTCTTGGAGGAGGAGCTGTCATAGACAGCTCCCCCTCCCTGAGGAGCTTACGCTTACCTCTCACCTCCAACATGGATATATTTTGAGTGGATGGTGCTCGGATGGATGGATGGATGGATGGCTTCTGGGGGCATCGAAATGAAAACTTAAATCGGTTTCGGGTCTATGTTTTACCATAAGACCTTCGGTAATAGCTTATCACCTATATGGGATGTTCGCTAAAAGGGGACGGATTAAGTTTTACACTATAACATAATAACATAGGTTACTAAGGAAAAATTTCAACTTTTAAGGTGGTGTGAATAATCTTTCAACGTGTTTTTTATGCAAATCTATTAAGACCAATTTCAAATTGATATGTATTTTTCTAAGGTAGTTATTTAAGTTATTTTTTTTTACATTTATTAAAAATTAAAACAATTGTATTTGTATAACACCTTAAATTACATATTAAAATGAAGTACTTAAACTAAAGCTATTTTTCTACAATTTCCGTAGTATCTCTCTTTACAATTTCATCATCACAATAATTATTCTCAGACGACTCATTAACAATTTTATTATTCTTAGCAACTTGTCAATCTTTACTGATTTTGTCCAAGTTGGTGTTCAAGCAGGATTCCTCTTTACAAACCTAAAACCTTGCATATTGCAGAACAGGCAACACCAATCTTAAAGCACGAACAATGTGGTGCAAAAAACCTTTCATACATACTGATGTTTGCAACTTGTATCTTAAGTTCCTCAAACTTATTTTCAATCAATACAAGTACAGTTATCTTTCGTGGTTATGACGACCAAGACAGCACTAAGATATCAGAGCAGCATTGCCGGTACAAGCATTTTTGTCCTGAACAATGGGAACTAGGTTTACGGGGCAAAAATTGGGGTTTCTTTTTTACTTTACCCTCAAAACACAAAGCTTCCCAATTTTTCTCTAGAACATTTTAAATAGCTTAAAAACATATAATTTAGCATATTAACGTGTTTTTGTATGGTTATTAGCTACGGATAAAAATACTAAAATTATAAATTTAAAATTCCCATGTAATTCTTATGTAGAACAGTGTAAAATGATTTTGTTTGTTTGTTAATTGATATATTTTGATCAAACTTGTCAAATTTATTTGTTTTATACTAGGCTATTAATATTTTACTATAAACACACTTTATTAGCCTCCTTGTAGCAGCAAACCTAGGTAATCGTTAAACGCAATGCTATTTTAGATTTAATTGAAAATCAATTCAGACAAATGGAAATTCGCTAGGTCTGCAGGTTTGCTGTGACGGGGGTATTTAATAATTTCTCTTACTCCTTGTGATCCTTTCCCATTACGTAGTAAAGAATTACAATTATTTTCAATAATCCCCTTTTATATAGAGCATGGAGGTAACTAATTTTATTACTTTATGAATAAATGTTTAAATATCGTAAAAAGTAATAATATTTCCAAACATCCTGTATGGTGTGGTTTAATACACTTATAACTACTCCCAATCGATTTAAAATAACTAAAACCATCGAAAACCACACCTCACTCGACCTTAAACGTAAAAACAAAATTATTCAGGAACAAGGGCCCTTCGGAACAAAAAGGGCCCCAAAAAGGGCCTTAGGACGACCAAAATTTTGGGGACTCATCGGATCTTCATTTCTCATATTATTAGTAACTCACAGGTGAAATTTCATGAATGTACAAATTTTGTTGTTTATAAAACCCTATTTTACCTGTACTAAATAGTTTATATTCATATTATCCCTGGTTCATGGTTAGAGGATCCTACAATTACCTCTCTAAACTCATAAATTTTCTATCAATTGTAATATTTAATAATTATGAAATACCTTATATTACTTATTTTTAGGATACTTCGCGCCAAAGCTGGTGGCGGCTGAGGGATTAGGACGGCCCTCGTACCATCATATAGGTTGGACCTGCTCACTGACCTGGCTGTCCTAATTCCTCAACCGCCACCAGCTTTGGCGCGGAGATAAGCTATATGATTGAAAAATTTGTATGACATCTCATATTTTATACAGGGAATACAGTACAGTTTTTAATCTTTTGTCAATGTTTTTGCTTTGTTACATTTTAGGTTTATTGCTTGTCCTAAAAATTTAAAAATAATCACTATACACATGTTTTTAGGAAAACTCAGTCATAAATCAGTGGAACTTCCCAACCATGGACATTCAAGATCTGTCAAGTTAATGTTACTAAAAAACATCATGTACTAAATGTCATAGTAAAACAGTGTGTATGCATTCAGCAAGTTATGCTCAAGTGTATGCTGAAGTTTCTCAAACTGAAATATTCATTTCAACCTTCTGTCGTTCTTTTTTTATTGTTTTCAAAGTAAAAAATACATTTCTATTTTTTTAAAGTTCAGATTTGGGGTTGGAATTGATATGATTGTATGAAAGTTAGCTATAACCAAGGCCCCATTAGAACCCTAAGGCCTACCCCATTAAGAAAACCCTTAGTGGGGTTAGTAGGGGTTTAACCCACAACAAAAAAGTTTTTCTAGTGGGGCTTTGCTACATGATAAACATTATAACTTAATTAAAGTGGTTTAAATACCTATATTGTTGACAATCTAAGTTGTTACACAACCACTTGGATTGTCAACATTTCAGGTATTTAAACCACTTTAATTGTATCTCAATAATCCGGAGGCTACCCATTCGGAAAAAAATGAAATTATTAAGTTACATAACTATGGCCATTACATAATTAATTATGTTAACATAATGATGGTATAACACTATTTTTACGAGTAAATTTCAAGTGGGAAAACTCAATTTATTTGATCTTAATATTATCATAGACAAATCTATCTATCTATCATATATTAATAGGCAAGCATGTTTCTTTAAAACCTTTTTTCTCAGCTCGTGTGCATCGTAGGTAAAATCTACGCATACCGTTAGAAAGCTATTTTCTTCTAGGTGTGCAGAATCCCTTTATAAATTTATGAGTTTAAAAATTTGAAAAAATTAACATGGATCTTATGCGTTGCCATGGTGACGAAATAACAACGAAATATAAACAGAAAATCAAAACAAATGGAAGAAACTCCAATCACATGTTTTATTTACAGTGTGGGGTGAAAATAGATAAGTGAGTACAGTACATTAGATATTTTTGGTCGAGTTTCGACCACTGGACATTACTCGTATAATTAAATATAGACCGACAGCAGTGCTGCGGTTAGCATAACTACTGGCATCCACCGCTAGGAGTGCCTAGTTATTTAAACCTGGAATTATTTCACTTTTGATTTTGGTTGAACGATTCTTAAAAAATAGTCTAACTTATTATACTCATCACAACCAACTGGTGAACTGAATAAACATTCACAAGAAGGTGAGGAATGCTATTAGGAGTAAACAATTATTGCTTACACTCATTTATGCAACATGATTGTTTCATGGGGAATTGTCTCATGTTTATATGTCTATTGTTTCATAGGAAAAGTTTGTTAAGCAGGATCAATTTTTATTGAGTAAGAAAGACAAGCCTAAATTTGGTATCTTAATTGTTGTTAAGCCTATATATAAATACTCCCGCTGCAGCAAACCTGCTGACTAAGCAAATTTACATCTTATATTTAAATAATTTGGTTTTTCTTTTCCGAGTTCAATGGCTCTTCTACCCGACCGATTTTCATGATTGAGGTCTCAAAATGAAGGTAAGCATGCACAGATTTGTCATCAAGCATCGGCTGTAATTATCTATAGTCTCACTCGGTTTATTTGTAAACGAAATTTGCTCTCCATGTATTTCTTATGGGAGTTAAATTTGGTTTCTCTTTGCCGAGTTCGTTTAGCTCTTCTACCCGGCCGATTTTCATGATTGAGGTCTCAAAATGAAGGCATTTTATTTATTTTAACATTGAATAAAATAAAATAAAAAATAATTCCTGATAGAAAAAATAATTCTGTTTATTAAATAAAACTAGAAATTGCTCAATAAAAATTTTATGATGACTTAATAATAATACCCCCGCCGCAGCAAACCTGCCGACTAAGCGAATTTCCAGTTGCCTGAATTGATTTTCAATTAAATGTATTTAATTAACATTAATTTTTATGAGTACATAGGCTTGCTGCTACAGGGAGGGTAAAAAAGTGTGTTTTTTAGAGAAATATTAATAACTTAGTATAAAATAAATAAATTTACCAAGTTTGATCAAAATATATCCATAAACAAGCAGACTACAACATTTTACAATATTCCCCATAAGAATAACATGGGAATTTTAAAATAACAATTATTTGAATTTTCTCCGTAACTAATAATAGTACAAAAACACTTTGATATACTAAATTATTTGTTTTTTTAAGCCCTTTAAGAAGGTCTGAAGAGAAATTGGGAAATTTTGCGTTTGTAGGGTCAAAAATTAGAAAAACCAATTTTTGCCCCATAAAACCCCCCGTAAAACCCCGTTCCCATGGTCCGATCATGCTGGTTCGCGAACTCATTCAAGTTTATCCCGCCTTACACCTTCAAACCAAATTTCATCAAAATCGGATAAAAATTACTCAAGTTATCGTGTTCACGGACACATATATATATATATAAATCTATATATATATATATATATATACACGGCTGCGCCCGGGAAGCCAGTCACATAAAATATACACTGGAAGTCAGTCAGTTGCACCCCCCAATATATTTCAAGACTATGATATATATATAATATATGTTGGTAAATATCTTAAGCCTAGACATATCTGAACGTATATATCTCTTTTTTTCTTAAAAATACTAAAATATAATTACGTAAAAAATGCTATGCTAATGCAGTCACCACCGCATTTGCATGGGAAAGCCAGTCACGTAAAATTTGTGCTGCTAAGCCAGTCACTATATATTTTACCGCATACCACTGGAATCCAGTCACTGAAAATCCACCCGGGTATCCCGTTACTTCAGTCACTTTCACTCCTGCCCTTCTACTTTGTGATATTTATTTGTTCTACAAGCTTGAAAATCCGCACCTCAAACAAATGGATTATGCTTCAGGCATTGAGCACTCTCATAACCCATCTTTCGCACTTCATTTTAATTAGTTGTCTTCCAGATTACTTAACAATTACTATTCTACAGATTAAATACCTAAATGTCAATGTAATCTTTGGTCGTCTTAATAGTCGTCCTGGCAACTGTGGATACAAATATGTACCGTACTAATTCGCAAGCGTAAGGTGGGAAGTTATTGCTTTATAGTCGCACAATTAGGCCTATTGTTGAGTCCTTGGAGGCAAGCGGCCATCTTGGATGATTTCAAAAAGCTGCAAAATTTATCGTCCAAAAATATTTTTCAAACACCAAAGTGTTTATAATTTAAATAGCTAGTATACTGTGGGATTAGAAATGTTCTTTGTAGTTTTGAATTATTCTCCAAGGGAGTCCATAAAATAAGTTAACGGTCACGGTCATCTAGGAAAAAGGCCAACTAATACGAAAACAATATCCTGTGTTGCGCGGGCCGTAGCACACAAATAGTTTTCCCGCCTCAAACAATCAAAGGCGTGTGGAACAAGGCAAAATTCTTGTCTCTTTTGTGGCGAGAGGTAGGGGCGAGCCTAACGGGTTCCATTGATGGGCTACCCGGCTACCGACCGACCTGGGGTAGCGACTAGCGAGCCAGTGGATGGTTAAAGGTTCTGCCGGTTATTTCCATCTTATTGCTGGTTCTCGAGCTTTTGAGCTCGTTGTACAGTGAAATATTACTTCCCTATTTTATATAGCCACAATCAAAGCGATTTTTACAAGAAAGAATGAAGATATAGACTCAGTGATGTGTGGTTACTTAATTAAATCATGTTCCTTGATTGTTTACCCTTTTGTAAGAGCCAATAATCAATCAACTTATATTTCTTTATTTTTCGATTTATTATCTATATCAATTCAAGAGGTAGCCCTGTACCTGGTTAACAAATATACCGATTACATTTAACGTGTTTTCTTTGAGTTACGCCCCATGGGATTCCAAAGTTTCACAATGTTTACATTTTTGAAGAATGTAGATAACAGAATGTTTAACGAAGTCAGCTTTAAATGCTGTCAATAAAGTTCTTTGATTTTGCGGTCCAAAAGGTAGAAACTATTCGAATTGTGAAACTTTTAATTTTTGCTACGAGCCTGTTAATTGGAGATTGTGACTTTCTTAAGTTAAGGAAGTAAACGAATTAACATGACGTGTTTGGAGTGGGATTTGAAATATGTGACGTGTATCAAACTTTTTCTCTTCAAAATCCTCTCCGATGTAAAACACAGGTACGGCAGCTAGGTTTATTAGAATTCAAAAGTTTTTAAAATTGTCCTCCAATGTTTAGAAATTATTTTTCGATCAAGTTGTTTAATGAATAAATAATTGTTTTGCCAAATTATGTTTCGAAAACAGGAACTAAAAATAGATCAGGAAATAGATATTTTAGTTCAGAAAACAAAGCCAATCAAATAGGCCTACGTACTTTTTAAATAAAAACACTGGTCAGATGGTTTTTAACTTTGCTTTTTATTTACTTCAATAAATTTCTAATAAAAATCACCACAGGTACTAATCTATATAAATAAAATTAGAGTTTTGTCTGTACATTGCTCAGAATCATTAACTTTTAGATTATTTTTACGTTTTAAACATTCAAGAATCCGAAAAAAGTTTCATCTCAATTCCGTTATTATCTCAATCATCAATTATTATCTCAATTCCGTTGTTGTCTATCTTCCGTCTGTCACGGTCCAAAGGCCATTTTACGCGGCCTTCTCCTGAAAACGAGAGTACCTATCAAGATCCTCGAATCATTTTAATGTATTCACTGGATTGGCGAAAGTGTCTTTAGCTATTAAAATATGGCCTCGCTACTTGGTAAAAAAACTTACGGACGTTTAAAACCCAATTTTGTGCGATTTTTGTCAAGTTTTCTCACAATGTTTATCACATAATCATCATATGAAATAGCGAACAGCTGTTCGGATCAAGATTATTTTTCTCTAGCTGTCACTGATATGTTTACATTGAATATTGTTTACAAATACCGCAATCATTTCAGATCAAGTTTCAAAAGCAAACCCAAACCAAGTTGGATTAAAACCGTTTTTCCTTACATAACGGATTTAATTAATCGCAAGTGCAATAATGTGTAGGGTAACCGTAAATGAAAATAGAGCTTCTTTGTGTATAGAATTTCTATCGAGTTTTGGGTTTATAACCGGGGAAAAGACTTTGACTCAGTGTTCTATATGCCTGGGAAACTTACATTTTTTACATAAGCGTTACCAATAGCTTACATATAAGGTTTCAACTCG